TATAGATTTTTGGAACGGAGAAATATTTCCACAATTCAAAACTCATGATGCAATTAATAAATTAATATACTATTATATTACCGTGGAAAACATAAATTTCGTCTCACACGTGTTCAATTATATTAGTGATGCGATTACGTTTGTATACACAACCGACCAATCTATGTACATAACCTACGTATACACAGTATTGGCCAATAAAGGGGTGAGAAGTTGGTTTGAATCAGATTAGGAAATTTTTGTACCTTTTCACGTTCACCCTTTTTTTTTTTTTAATGTTAGAAATAATAATAACTAATACCAAGGAACAAAAAATATATTATGCAAATAAAATGGATAAAATAAAATAGCGGAACCATGCAAATAATTCTAGAGTACTTTCGGAGAAATAACGAATTTTGTCCACGCGTTCACATACGTAATAAAATCGTCCGGTTCCGATCGAATGACACGGCATATTTATTTCCGAATCAAGCGATCGAATTCTAGCCGTGTGGTGAGCGCATTTGCAGAGTAATTATCTGTACCTTTTGTCACGTTGCGCAAATCAACTATTTACTTATTTGTTTTTTTTTTTTCAAGTCAAACAAAGAGTTGCACAACAAGGTCAACAATGATCGAGTTTATTAACGCACTAATTAATGAAACCTTTTCTTGAACTTCTGCGACGAATTCACACACAACGAATCGAACGAAAATAAGCATAACCCAAATTTTCTCTTCCTTTTTTGAGCACAATAAAAGACCGGATGAATAGACACATCCTCCGTAAGGAATTTTGGATTGGAAGTTGGGAACGGTCGTGTAACATTTCCGTTTTTCTCTACTAAGTGTTATATACTGCGTCATTACAACATAGGTTCCTTGGTCCGGTAATTTGAAACACGAAATAAGACATGAAACCAAGATGTTACACGTCAATATATTAAAATTTACCGGTGAATGTTTCTCGGGGGGAGAATCCCCCAGGTAATGTCACGCGTCACGCATTTGCTTATGTACGCTTGGATTCTCCCGCGAAGGAGAGGCATGAGTCATTTGACTCGATTTCTAAACATTCATACCACTCAACTTCCTCGAACCGAAACAAAAATAACAATTAAAAAGGAACGGAACATGTCATTTTGCAGGTGTCGAAACTCATTTTATTCGTGGAAAACAAGAGGTACGCGCGAGATTTTTTTTTTTTTTTTTTTTTTTTTTTTGCCAAACGACCAACACCAGTAAAATAAATTTTTTTTTTACTGATTAAAACCTTATCATGGTGGGAGAAACAAACTTTTCCACAATCATGCACCTGCATTATCCATGAAAGGCGAATGGTGGATTAAGCAATTTCCTATTTCCAACATCCACGATGTTGATTATTAATTTTAATCTAAAAACTATTTTTTCACGCAAATGAATGCATGTCAATGGATGGGATCGACGGCGACAGGGATTGAATCGGATGCTCACAAAGTCACAAAGTACTGTATCATCATATTAATAATGAATCGAGATGACCTCCTACCTTTTCATTGGTTCAAAGTGACAAGATGAACAGAGCGGATAAACGGTTAAACAATCGCTTATTCTTAATTCGTCACGACACAATAGGCACGATATGCGGCCGTAAAAATTTCAATTCCAAAAATCAATTGATTCCGGTGCCGTCGGAGCGAACATTGGAATCGTCAACGAAAACATATTGGTTTTCGAATAATTCGTCGGCAATTATGACTATAAAAAGAACAAGGAACAAATATCTAAAGTGTTTCAGAATTTTTTAATTTATTTTTTATTTTTACCTTTATTTATTTTTAATTTACACAGGTGACGCATTTGATACGCATGTAATTTGTATGCACGATGATTTCCCCAAAAAACATCAAAATTTAATGCTCTGATGTCCTTTGTAAATCATAAATTAATGCGTGCATGCTTACGTAAAATTTGATGTGACGTATGGTACGTAGCATCGTGTAACAAAATTTCACCTGTCGGAGAGAACACAATACATTTTAATGATTATTCAGTAATTAAACAGTGCATGAACCCGGAACTTCCAGATTTATTATTAACATCAAATGTTACTATTAAAACCAAAGTTGTAATTAAGAATAGTTTACATTACATGGAATTTGTTGCAGGTAAAGTGAAAATTATACGATTAGAGATACTTCAGAAACAATAAGCTCCTTTGACGAGTGACGAAACGCGTTCCAAATTACGTTCTGTCGACACTCTTTCTTAAGAACAAATATTAATAATAATTTATATGATAGATAATAAAAAAAGATAGATTGCATTATATGCTAGGGAAGAAGGAAAAAAGAGATTATTATTTGATGCATAATTTCAATCGTAGTTAACGCTACGATCTTCATCTTAACGTTGATACATAAAGTCAAAACCATGAGTGTTTGAAGGCATAATAATTTCATATTGAGAAATGCGTGATTTCAATCTTCCAATTGATTGGTTCATAGTTGGTGAGAATGATGAGGGAATTGTTCTGCAACAAGTTCATGATTAAGTTCAGGAATAAATTGAAGATAGGTGACCTCTTCTGGTGTAAAACTTTGGAATAACGTGTCGGTGTAGTAAGTTGGTTGGGAGTAAGCAACCCGGGTTTGTGAGGCAACTGGAAATGGCCGTTGCGGTATCGTATATGGTTGATACGAGGACAAATGAGTGGAAACGTTGGAGGACCTTGCGCGAGAAGATGGTTGATATTTGTAATTCGGAAATTTGGCGGAATGTAATCTGTTAACTTGCGTGGCGAGATTTTCATAAGCATTCTTTTCCTCGGGCGAAGCATCACGCCATAACATCCCTGTCACTTTGCTGATGACGCGCATGTTGCATATTCCATACCGCCCGGCCTCCCTGTTAACATTCTTTCGACAAAGTAGGAATCCATTCGGCGGTCTTTTGACGTGATGACTTGAATTTAAGTTAATCAAATCTTCTGGCTTATTATAATACGGTGGGAATATTCTACTTCGGTCCAGATTGGACATCAATTTTCGCGCTAAATCGTCCATAGATGAGGATAAAATCCCAATCGTCATTTTGACAAGGAAAGGAATTCAAACGTATCGATTCTAATGCATAAACAGTTTTCCTGTGATTTTATATGAAAAAAATTTTTTTTTTTGCCGGAGTGAATAATCCGAACAAGAGTGGCCAAAAAAATTCGCTAGTGACGTGATAATGCAGGGCACAGACCTTTTTTTATTATTATGAGACGCTTCAAGCACCTGATCACCGGCAAAGAGCATTTGATCACAAGTGGACCGGGGGGAGCTCTCTTGAATTCAATTTAGTCTACCTTATCCGCAGTATCGTTCTGTATTCTACATAAAAAATTATTGAAGACAATTAAATGCAAGTGTGCTACGAAGGTAAACAAAATATTGCCGTATCTTTTCTTGTGCACAAACCCCATGATTTTTTTTTTCACACGGCAAAAATTTACTTATTTCTCGTTTTACACATGATGCACCTGATTGGACGCTTATCCGCTTCTAGAAAGAATCCCTGCATCCTTATGTCGCACATAGACTCTCATTGACACAGTGAGACGTGATGAAGAATGAAGATGGTGCGGTGTTTGCTGGAAGTAAGCAATGCGTGAGGCATTGAAAGCTAAGAAAAACACGATCACTTAAACTCCAACGCGTGCGTCTTTAGAAGTATCGGTTAAAAAAATGATGAAGTCGCGTGTAAAAATGAAAAGAAAGAAAGGAACAAACAAAGATGGTTGCTGACTCCACATCGATTAATGATGATTGATTGAACATGCGATAATCAGGTTGTGACTACTTACCCGATGACTGTATGCAATGTATAAGTGTCTCTTATTATTTTTCTTTAAATAACAAGTCTGAAAAATTTGTCATCACATTTGCTTACTCAGGGATGTATGATTCTTGCGAGAAAAATTTTAAGTTGCATAAATCATGCGGACGCACAAAATTTCTCTTAATTAACTAATCAGTGTACTACCATTTTTATTTTAGTCTATTTTATTTACGCATTTAAGAAGCAAGTTTTTTAACATTAGTTCTTGTATCACTGCGCCGTAGCCCTCTTTTCCATACTTGCTCTTTAGCGTATTCGGCATCCATACATAGCTCCATTCATGAAATTGAAATGATCCCTGATTCTTGTTCTTTTAGGTGGTTTCCTCGTAGATCTTTTGTGATAACGAAATACTCGCGTTTGTGGTAATTATGAATCATTCGTTTTACGAACGTATAATCATTAAAAATAGTTATGGCTTTTTAACTCATTCTACATTTACTTTCTCTAATTATGCACTGCATAATCTACCTTTCGTACTTTACCGCCTTTTTTTAATTTCTTTTTTTTTTGCACGTGTGACAGATACGTAATGTTTTATCATCTGACCAGCACGTAAAAGGGAAAATGGCTATTCTTTACGTAATTAAAATATAGTGGTTGAAATTATAAACTGGAATCGTTCGTGTTTTCCGATACCAAAAATAATCATTCCCACCAAAATCGAATTAACTAATATGTATTAGGATTATCAGGATATATTAAGGACTGTGCGTAAATTAAATTGCTTTTTGGTTCATTTTTTCCTAATTATAATTGTATTTCTTTTTTGTGCTATTTACTGTACATGTTGTGCATGAAAATCCTTGAGCTGTTATCGAATAATCAATACTGCACCACACCCGTATCAAACATGTTTAGCTTATACTGTAACTACGTTATTTATAAATATGCCTTTATTTCATTACTGTGTGTATATTTTATTTTCATTTTTACAAAATCAGACATTTTATACAGTGTATAACATTTATCTATTTTACATTGGTATTCATTTATATCTATTTATTTTGTTTTTATTCTCATAATACGATCGCTTACATATTTTTTTTTTTTTAAATTTTTGGTTTTAAAAATAATTTCCACACATTAAATCGGATGACAAAATAAATTGTTCGATACAGTACCAACAATCATCGATTGATATGTGCAAATTTTTTCTTCACGTTTCTATTTACGAAACGCGTATTCAAAATCATCTTGTAAAGTATTTATTTAAAAAAAATACGATTACGCGATCGCATAAAAAAAAATGATTTATTTTAATACAAAAAACAAATCATCCAAAAATATTTATAGACGATTTTGATATTAAAAATAATCACAATAGAATAACACGTCGCATACGACATTCTACATTTTCTATTCCAACATATTGATATTGATGACATGACCATTAAATTTTTTATCAAGTCAATGGAAATTATCTAAAAAAAAATACTTTACCCACTATAACTTATAATGCATATTGTTAATGGAATATACAGATAGGTTATGGTTATTATAGCGTAAATTTTTTTGCATAACATAACCATACTTTGCAAACTGTATTCGCAATTTATTCGAAAAGTTGGTTTGAAAAATAATATAGCCATAAATGGCCTAAAATAATCATTCCTTTTTATTATTCTATAAAAGTTTATAGTAGGGATTTATGATATATGTATTCATATAAGAACAATATAATATAATACAATATACTGTATATACAATGTATAACAATCGTATAATATTATTTGTTTCGTCATCTGCCTTTAATCAATGATATTTGTAATTAAAAAACTTTTTTTAGAATCAAACTGATCCTTTTAAAAACTAAAATTGTCAAATAAGAAAAAAAAACAAATAAGAAAAATTTTTTAAGTTAATTTTTTTATGTATTGATTAAAGAAATCGAAATTTTTTATTTTAATTTTCCAATTGGTTCGACTTCAATAAAATTTAATGATTATTTAATCACTTTATATAATTTAAATTTTAAAATTTATTGTATTCTAATTTAATTTTGTACTTAATTTATGAATTATTTAAATTTTAAATAAAAATTATATTTTTCATAATTAAGTTAAGATTTTATTATTTTTTTCAATTTAATAAATTATTTTTGATCTTGAAAAATACTGTAATTTAAATTTCTTAGATATTCTTGATAACATATTATAATAACAAAAAATAAATCATTTGTTTATCTATAAACAATTGCTATTATTTTAACAAAATATCAATTGATTGCATATACTTAGAATATAAAATTATATTGATATCACTATTTATTATTGAAATCAATTTGTTTTTTATTGATATATCAAAAAATAAAAAGAAATAATTATGTTAAAAGCTTATTTAACATTATTTATTGTGCTGATATCAAGTTGTAACAATTTAGAGTTATTATTAAAAACTTCAATATTAATTATTAAAGTTACAAGTAATATTATTTTATTTATTAATTAAGAATAGACTTTTTCAAATACATTGGTTAAACTATATAAATTATTTATTTTTTTAAAAAAAATAACTAGATATTATTGCTTTATTATATTATAAAAGTTTTAAAATATTTTTATATAAAAAAAGTAATATCTTTTATGTAATTAAATTAACCAATAAGTCTAATATTAGTTTGTCTACAAAAAACTATTTAAGCAATAAAGTACAATAAATATTAAAACTATTTAAGCAATAAAGTACAATAAATATTAAAACCAATATATAGCATGTTACAAAAGTTTTTAGACTAATATTTTTTAATATAACTTAATAAATAATGATTTAATTTATATAAAACTTTAAATATATTATTTTTTATAATATACTGTAATAAAAAATTATCCAAGTTTTATTAATAGTTAATTAATAACTTTATTATAAAATATTAATTCAAACTGAAAACAAAATTAAGTTATAAAATTTTTAAATAATTGGCTATAAGTAAATATCAAAAATCAAAAAATATATATTAGAATTATTTAATAAAAAAATTAAATAAATAAATATTAATACATTATAAAATATTTTTTTTTATAATTTTTTTATAAATTCAAAAAATATTTAATTTATTTCTTAAAAAAATTATACTTTTCATCCATAATTAATTTATATATAAATTTATTTATAAAAACTTGATCAAACTTTTTTAACTTATTTTTTTTTTATTTCAAATTATTATTTTATAATAAATTGTTAATCAATTATTAATAAAACTTGAATAATTTTATTATTACATTATAAAAAATATATATTTAAAGTTTTATATTAACTAAATAATTATTTATTAAATTATATTATATTAAAAAATATTAGTCCAAAAACTTTTGTAATATACTGTATATTAAAGATAATATTAAACAGTTATAAATATTTATTCAATTTTTTTTTTATTATAAAAAGGCATTAGATGCAAAACTTTATTAAATATATAAATTGATATACAGATTACATCAAATATCTTTACATAGTATATGTGAATTAATATTAACCTATCTACAATACTAACTATTGCTATCCTAATTACCCTTGATGTAACTTGGATTGGCTCTAGTACTAGATGGTTAATGTCCTTCCAAAGCTAAAAATAGGTCCAATGATTTAAGTATACTGTCTGATTTAGCATATTGTAAATCTGATTCCATAATAATTTGTTAGAGAAGATCTGATTCTTGTGAAGGGCCCATTGTATTTTTAACTTTTGTGTCTTATATACTGTGTCTGATTTTAGTCTATTTGATGCTTGTTGATACTGATGTGTTTGCCATTGCTAATCTGGGTATCCATATTAATATATAAAGAAGTTTCAATATACTGTTTGTAAACTTGGCTAGTTTTTTTTTGAAAGATGAATGTTCGGAATTATTATGCTATATGCTATCTTTTTGGATTGTGATTTCCTGTTTATATTGAGATCCGATAGGTGTTGTGATGTTACGCTAACTTCTTTTAAGAGTTTCTTTAATTTGGAGTTCATTTTGGTTTCGATTTCCTCATACACTGTAATGTTTTTGTAATATTCAAAGACACGTTCCTGTATTTCTGGTACGATCAAGCATCTGGGGCATAGATCATCTTAATAATTGTCAGAATATCTTTTGTGTAGTAGCTTTCTTGTAGAGAGAGTTCTACTAAGAATTTTGTTTTTGAAAGTCAACAAGAATGAGGAATTATATTTGTCTTTTTTAATTAATAGATTGTTTGCGAGTACAAGATACTGCAG